TCCAGTGAAAAAATAGTTTTTAATTGTTTTTCTGTTCCTTATGATGAAATACATCTTTCCATCACAGCATATTTTGATATTCTAAGTATTTAATTTTTAAATTAAAAAAAAACAAACTTTTTTTCCATAGGATTCAATGCAATCTTCATAGATTAATAACTGCTTAGGTAGTAATTTTTTTTTTTTGGAAAATTTCTCTTGGTAAATCCTTTTCTATTCTAAAGTGCTTTGAAATAATATCATAGTATTTTAAACACGACTGATATTTAAGGTTAGAAAATTAGATCCTAATATGAGTCGGATACCTTAATGGCATCAAGAAAATGGATTTGATTTTGTTTACAAGAAAGATTGTATACATGATGTAGTTACTGTTATGTAATTTTTGCATCACTTTTCAGCCAGACCTTTTTGTTTTGTTTTGTTTTGTTTTTTTTTTTTTTGAGTGAGGAAAAAATTTAAAAACTTTTTTATCCACATCTTTCCCGAAATGTATAGGACCTGTGGGTCTGTCAATTTAATTTGCTAGTAAATATGCATCATAAATTGGAACAAAGTTACACTTGTGAAAAGTACTGTGTTTTTTTTAAATTAACTTGATATTATGGTTGTGATTGTTTTCTTTATTAGAACACAAGAAACCCTGTTTGCAAATTGTACTTCAAATTTCTGACAACTTTTTTTAATTACTTGCATTGTCAATTCATTATTGCCTTAAAAGACCAAGTCAAATGTTTCTCATCAAACATGGCTGTTGAATGCAGTCTTCACCAGCGAAAGGATTTGCTATTCTTCTCACAAACCCTTGGTCTATCTTGCTATCAAAAGTCAGGATTTTTTACACAAGTTGTGATTGGAGTTTACTGAAATAATTTGACCAAGTGCTATAGTAAATGACGATATCTTCATTCAGGATATTTCTTGACTCTGTAGTCTCAGTTATAAAAACCCTTGTAAACAATGATTCCTAAGATAACATTCCATTTTTGAAAATGCTATGACATATCATCCAACGTGAAGATTATGTGCACATAATGTAATCTGGAACCTATATTGCAGATAAAGACTTGCAAACTTACTAACAAATAAACCTATCTGCTTGTTTATTATTCTTCAGATACTTCACTTTTTTCTATAAATGCTCTTTATTTCTATGAATGATGCAAGCTGTGATTCGAGATAATTCTTGTAAGAATTTTTTTTTTGAAAATGATGAAATAAGTACTTAATTGTATAATTTATGAAATTTTTTTTTAAACTGCTTGCATTCCTTTTTTACCATATTATTTTAATATGTGTTTCACTGAGGTTGAATTTCATGCAATCGCATCTTACGAATTTTATTTCATTTCACAAGTTTTTGATTGGTTTTGGAATGGCAACCCAGATAAGCAAAATAAAAAAGATTAATTCATTTTTAAAAATTTCTCTCAGGTTTTTTGTTGTTCACAATTTTTTTTACGTCAGCTATTAGATGATATATCCATAGTGGTTGCAGCATTTCAAAATTGATATACACTTGCAATTTAAGGAGGCTGGGGGGTCAACAAATTAACCACCAGATTTAACTTAATTTTTTAGATATGATATCTTCAGCTGTCAACTATCATTTGGCAAAGAAAAATTTCAAAAATTTTAGTTTTAAAATTTGATCATTTTCTATATCTTCATGTGGAGCTCTTCTTCTAAAGGAGATCAATATAGTCTAAAAATGGCCACAACCCCCCAGCCTCTTTAAGGTAGAATTTTGTACTGATATGACCTTGACCCCTAAGAACAGAGATGTCAAGGTCAAAACTTAATTCAATAATGTTCTTTACATTATTTTGGCCCATATCTTACTTACAATATCATGGAATACAAAAAAAAAGTGTCTAGCAATAACAAACATACAATGTATACAGCCAAAAATTGAAAATATTTTTGCTTAGCAACCACTTAAAGGTCATTTAAAAATATTTGAACTAAAATGGTGTATGAATATTGCAGTTCTGATGCCTTCTTGAGAGTATATTTAGAATTTTCTATTTCAGCATGCATTGTGTAAAATTTTACCAAGAATATTGAAAAGTTTTGAAAAAGTTGATGAAATTTTTGCACTTATTTGGCCTTTGACCTCCTAAAAATAGTTCTGATGAGGTCAAACTTTAAGACAATTTATCTGCTGTATATCCCTTTTAATTTTATGACCTCATATCTGACTTTAAAATGTACTGGAATGCATAAATGTGTCTAGGATGAGCAAAAAACGAAAATTGCTGCCCGAAAATTGAAAAATAACCCGTTGCTAAGCAACCCCTTTGAAGTCATTATATGAAGAATTGAAAAAAAGTTTATGTGATGTGATTAATGTAGTACAGTATAATACTCTTTTGTATGTTCCGAATTTCCTATTTCAACATACATCATTGTAAATTTTTAGCTTGAAGATTAAAAAGTATCGAAAAATTCGATAAAAGTTTGCACTTATTTGACCTTTGACCTCTTTCTACTATTAAGGTCAGCGTTGGGTATCTGAATAGTCATGAAATATCATCTCTAAGAAATTCCCTATAAAATGGTATGCATTATGCCTAGCTTTCTCCTTGGATAAAAGGTTAGAAATAATTTGATAATGCTATGTCAAAAGGCCTCCAAAATCACGTAAAATGAGCTGGTAGAGAAAGGGTTAAAATGAATTTGTAAGAAATGTCTTTAAAATATAGAGAACAGCAAAGCCATGGTTAGTCATATTATTACAGAAGTATCCTCAGGTAGTGTGGATTCAAGTTTGTTCCAACCATGACTTCTGGGGGTAGGGTAGGGTCACAACAGGGGGGTCAAAGTTTACCATTAGAATATATGGGAAATATCTTTAAAATTTTTCTTCTCAACAACAGCTAAGCCATTTTTAGACATACATGTATTTTAGAAATATCCTCAGGGTGTGGGATTCAAGTTTGTTCAAATCATGACCACTGGGGGTAGGGAGGGGCCACAACAGTTGGTCAAGGTTTACATAGGAATATATAGGTGTAATGGTTATGGGGCATTTGGGTAAAACGCATTGAAGACTTCAAATGGTGGAATGACCTTACAACCCTTGGAATGGACCAGCCTAAGGGTATATATGGCACAGCTTTGGGAAAGTCAGGCATTTAGAAGGTAGCGGTAGAAGTTGGATGATGAATCAGCAATAAAGAAGTTAAGGTATTCCATCTAATAGCAAAAGATTCAATGAAATTGAATACATAACAGATGTTAGGTGTTGAATACTCAGTATATTTAGACATAATTCCCATTTATTACTACATGTATTAGCATGTAAGGATGGGATGTGTCCTAATTTATGACCTTGAATTTTGGTAAGAGTTATCTCCATCTGTTTTTAAATAATAAAAAGAAAATCAATTTTAAGAAATTTATCTGGTAAAAAGAAATCGTTTTCAATCGCATTCTATTTCTTACGTGTTTTAGTGCATTTTTTCCACCACAGTATTTATTGATTTTCTTATTATTTGAATTTTTATTTTTAAAAAATTGCTCCATAGACTTCAATGCAAATTTTGTTAAGTACTTACTGCTTAGTAAATTACATTTTTGAAAATTTCTCTTGGAAAATCCTTTTATTACTGTAAAATGCTTTTAATTAATATAAGAACATTATGTATGTGACATTTAAGGATAGAGGATGAAAAACTTTAGGGTAAGAGCAAAATAAAAGTATATCTTATATACACCAGTGGCAAGTATCCTAAGGAATTGATGTTAAGCTCTGGGTGTAGTAAATCTGAAGAAGATTGAGACAACTGGTTCTTATCTATCAATAGGAGCCTAGGGATGAAAGCACTGTGCAAGTAGTCCCCATCTCTAGATAAGAAAAAAATTAAGTACTGTGCGATATACCTCAGACAGAGCTGTCTTAATAATAATTCCAATCACTGACTCATACAGAGTAAAAGGAAACATATATATTGTAAGAACTTGATCATACCATTACATGTACGTAGGAAAAATCTTTAAAATCTTCTCAAGAACAACTAAGCCATCATTAGTCATATTTATACAGAAGCAACCTTAGGTATTGTAGAATCAAGTTTTTTTTTCACATTATGACCCCCAGGGGTTGGGGGCACAACAGAGGGTGAAAGTTTTGCATAAGAATACTTACGGTGGGTAGGGTGGGACTACAATGAGCAATAAGAGTTTTACAAAGGAATCAGATGGAAAAAAACTTTAAAATTCTTCTGTTTAAGAACAGCAAAGCCATGATTAGTAATATTGATATAGAAGCTTCCTGAGGTAGTGCAAATTTAAGTTTGCCCCCCCCCCCCACCTTAAAACTTTTCAGTACTGAACTGATTTCTGCTTCTTCCTAGCCAGTGTGCTCAGGTGAGCGATGTTTCAGAGCGGTGGGTTGTCTTCGCCTTGTACGCCTCCATTCTTTATATTCAAGCAATGTTGTATAGGCGTTATTCAGTTTTGAGTGGATAGATAAATTTCCTTATTGACATATCATGAGACAATATTGAAATCGTTTGTAAGATTAATTTTTACAATTGTATTTAAATTCAGTCCTACAAGTGATAAATCATCTTTTATCTAAAAGGAAGAGATTCGTCTCAATCATATGTCAGTTTAAAATAATTTCAATGTTGTCAATAGCAAAATTGAATTTCAATTACCATACCTTAACTTGATTCCATGACTTCATAAAAAAATGACAAAGGTACGAAGTGGGAGTTAGCAAAGGTTCTAATCCATTTCTTCACTGCCCAAGGTAGGTAGTATTCCCCACAGTAAGCTACATGTGTATATGAAGAATGTATAAAACAGGGGATGCTAACGTCTCACTGGGACTTGACCCCACCTCTGATATTTTCAGGGCTCTCTGCTGTCACAACTCTCAATTTGTAAAGTTCAGTTGAATTTTATAGCGTAATTACTGTTCATTATCTTTACATCTGCGGAATACGTTTCATAACATTTGGTAAAGGACACATTATTCTTCTTTATTCTTATTACTGAAATTTACCTTTAAGGTTAAGGTGAAACTGTAATTCATTTCTCATTTCCTGAACTTCCTGTTGAATTCTGCATAGAAGCTCTTCTTTATTGGATCCTTCAAGGTCAAATGTTTCAATTTCACTCACAATGGCGTCAGCTTCACCTTCGCTTATTTCACTTAAAGCCTTAAAAAAGAATTAAACCAAAAATAAAAAAAACAAAACAAAACGTACAATTGCATTGCTGAGGTATATATGCAATATTCCCAATTTTAACAATATGGTATACTTAAATGATAATATAAAATATATTCCATGTTTTCTGGTTGGATCTTAGATTTATTAAAGGATCTGGTTTTTTGAAACTATTTTTAAAAGAGCGAAGCATGAATGATAATTATGAAAAAATCCTACCTCAGAAGTGTAAAGAAATTCCAAATTCAATAAAAAAATTTGATAATAAAGAGCCAAGCTGTGTAATGACTTAACCTTTTATAAAAGAGATGTAGTCCGCATAGTCTCAGAATTTGATACTGTAAACTCAAATCAGGCAAACATTGGTTGCTATGTGTCATGGTAACCACGACAACATGCCCCTAAGTTTAAAAGTATGTTCAGAGTTCCATAGATAACGTTTGCAGCAAGAAAAAAAATATTTAAAAGTAATAATTATATTTATTAAATTTTACAAGTCATACACTCTGACAAAAAAGTTCGAGAATTGCTGTAGATATTATAGGAGAAATAATAAGTATGAAAAGGTGAAAAAAAAACTGTCTTTCCTTAGAAATGTACCCATTTATGTAGATTCCTAATACTTTTTATGTTTGATATTAATGAACAACAAACTCAACTTTCAATTTTGACTGCTTCACAATCCTAGCTGGATGAATGACGTTACCATACAGTGTTTCATTATTCTATTAAGTTAACTAAGTCAAAAAATTCCCTTTCTGGATTACTATAGCAACGGTGTTATTTTCTTCCTCAAACTTTATCAACAAATGATCTTCAACTTTAGTTTTCTTGCGGATATATGTAAGTACAATGCAGAGTGGTCGCCCACGTGGCGCAGTGGTTAGAGCGTCTGCTCTAGAGTTGCGGAGTAAGGATCTGATCCTTACTTCGCGGGCTCGAATCCACTGCGGAACGTGGAGATCGGTCCTTCGGATGAGACCGTATAAAACGACGTCCCGTGTTGCAGTAGGTGTTATCGTTGGCACGAAAGAGATGCCTCACTGCTCAATGGCTCTGAGTGCCAAGTATAGGTATAAATTTGCAGCCCTCCACCGGCAAGTGGTGGGTTCTCCATATGATTGAAAAATTCTCGAGAGGGAAGTTAAACAACAAACAAACAAACAAGCAATTCAAGGTGAGTCAAATAATATGTTACAGGATCGAAAGATTACTGAATTCCTAAAGCAGCAAAAATGTTACTTTTAACCACTGGTACGTTGTTTCAATAGTTATATTGCAAAGTAGCAATTCATTCCAATTTTTCATATGCTAGCTTTGTTACATGGTCCTAATAAATTTTTAAGACACCATAGCTAGACGGCTGTAAAATTGCCCATTGTAAAGAAGGATCTTAAAATTGGTTGTTGTTTTTTTTTTTTTCAGCCGATCAGGATAGTTGACTGTCGCTTTAACCAAAAAAAAAAAAAAAAAAAAAAAAAAAAAAAAAAAAAAAAGGGGTGGGTGGGGTCTTTTTACTTTTTTAAAGGGAGTTTTTCCACAAGTTTGTAATTGCACACTTTGGAAAAAAATTGTTACTTTCACGCAGTGAAAATGGTATTCGATTACAGTATTTCTCTGTTGAAGATGTAATAATCAACATTTCCTCTTTATACCGTAATTAGATATAGTGCAATTTTTTTTTTAAATCAAGAGACTAATTGATGACAACATACTTCTTCTAATATAAATTTTTTACAACATTTTAAGCATCTTTACTCAAATGGAAAAAAATGAACCATCTGACGTCAACGAAGCCCGAAGGAATCATTACTTAAATAGTTGATTTAAATTGAATCCATGCAACATATGGAATTCAGAACTTTGTTTTCCTGTAGATGATCTTAAGATACTTTTTTGTACAAAAGCATCATGTATATATATATATATATATATATATATATATATATATATATATATATATATATATATATATATATATACATAGATATATATATATATATATATATATATATATATATATATATATATATATATATATATATATATATGTTTCCCTATTTTAGTCTCACTCTTTCTGAATGTGATTTTGTGCTGACAGAACAATGACAATATCCCCCAACCCAAATAGTCGATCTCGCAATATAAAAATACCATATATCTTACCTCTTTTAAGGAAGACCATATCTTGTTAAATGAGTTTTCATTAATTCGACTTTTTGAAGGATGAGATAGCTTGTTCCTGTAGACTTTAATTCTGGTCAAATGCGCCCCAAGAGATTTATCCCTGTCAGAAGGAAGTCTATCCCATCCTGTAGTAGGTTCTTGAACAAACTTCAGGCTGCGTAAAAGGCATATCATCAAGGTAATGTCGAAATCAGCGGAGGAAGTTGCTAGAATAAGATAAGCAACTGTTAACAGAGAGATAGAGTACAAAATACTGAAAATTTTCATGTAAACCTTACGAAATCGGATAAAAATTTTGATTGTTAAAGACAAAGCTTACATTTTGAAATTAAAAAGATAGGGAAAAGTTGCCCATGCAGAAAATATGTACATCACTCTACCCCAATTTCAAACGTACAATTTTCTTGAAATTCTCAAAAAGGCATAGATTATCTGTCTGAAGACTTATCTGTATATTTAATATTCTACCTCAGTCTTACGTTTTTACCAATGAAATTGATAAATAGGCATCAAATACGATATTTCATTCGGGAATATAAGAAGTAGACCTTTTTATCCAGCAAAAACAGTCTAGTATGAAAAGTAGAAACTTCTTACCACTACTGATTTCTCAAGGAAATAATATATTATGGGATTTTTTAAATCAAGATTTATCTATTTTAATATCAAAATGATAATTGTTGTATGCATCTTTATTCTTATGATATATTTGTTTTCAAGTTTTCAGTATTTTGTTAAGGAATTAGCCTAGTTCTAACCAAACTTAATAAAACACTTTTGAGGAACCACTGAATATTCTTAGTAAGTATAAAACGATTTCTTATTTTTTAACAAAAACAGTTGAACTTCCTTTAACCTTACAATCTATTATAAAAAAGGAAAACTATGGTTTTTATTCTCAAACCTGTCGTTTTCGGAGTCGGTACAATCATTATTGTAGGGAAGTTGAAGCCGGGCACTCTCTGTAGAACTTCTTGTTGATACACATTGATGACTTTTCTGCTAATGAGGTTCTGAATGACTCTGACATTACTGTTGAGAACAGTAGCAAGATCAGCTGGTGGAATAATAACATCAAAACGTTTCTTCACCGCTGGTTGGGCAACATATTTGATCAAAACATCTAGGATCCAAAAATTTCTTTCTTCTTTAGTAAATCTATAGCTCCCTTTCTCCATTTTACTCTGTAGTGAAAAGAAAAATAAATAAAACAACAATTATGTAAATAATTTCATTTATGTGTTGAATGCTGTTTAGTTTTCTTTTGTTTAAATGTAAATAAGTAAATATTGTATTTTGTATTGTTTTAAATCTCAATATTTTGATTTTTCTTCATTGGCTTGAATTCTCCCATGCCTTGCAGGTGTCAGGTACACGTTATGCAATTTTCCCCATTTCTTCAGTTTCGGCTACTTGTTACACAACTCCAAAATTTTCCATGGTCAAACCTTACCCCTATGTAAGCTAATAGCCAATCAGAAATGACCATCATGGTCACGTGTTTTGATGCTGTCGGTAGCTGACCAGTCAGCGTTGGGTCATTCTCTCCTCATCTATGCTACTGATAACAACAAAAAATTTGGCACACCCACCACCACCCCAGTCTTTCCTACCTTATTTTGCATTTATATATTTTAATTTTACTGGCATATTTATTTTTGATGTGCCATCTTTTTGCTGTATACTTACTGTTTTTTATATTTTTTGCCAATATTGTTTATCTGTAAATTTAGGGGACAGCATATTGACATGTATTGTGTGAATACCTTTTGGTCTGATCCCCTATCATGTTTATGTATATATATTTCTTATTTTCGTCATTTTTAATAAATGACATATTTCATCTCAACATTGGTGTTGATTTCATTGATTATAACTCAGCAAAAACAGAGCTGCGGTGAGTTTGTGCAGCATGAGGAAACATAAATATAATTTATTCATGCAGTGTGTCTGCCTTGCACATAACGCCACAAAGATTGATGATAACAAGACAGACACCGCTTTTCTATATCATCAATGAGGGGTTTAAAAGCCTACGATCAGTTGCACAGGTAAATTGCTTTACAAAAGAAAAGGTTAGCGTATGTCCTAGCTGTTCTTTAGTTGAATCTAGAAGAGAGAGAGAGAGAAGGGGGGAGGGAGGGAAAATGCATTTAATAACATTTTTGGGTGTTTTTGCAAAAAAAAAGAAAAAAGAAAATGTAAGGACACCTTCAAAATGTTTTATACACTACATTGACGGAAAATTTCTATCCATACTTTTTGCCAACATAATATAACATCTTATCTATATGTAAATTTAATATTCACATTAAGAAAATGAAATATTTATTGTATTTATTTACCTTGTTTCTCTCTGTTATTGCTTATCCAAAACAATATCGACAAGTTGAGACGCCATTTCAGCAGGAGATCTTTAATCATTAAGTTTAAAGTTCATATAATAGATTAAAAAACCCAAACCGCAGTGATATCCGAGATACTAAATTCTGCATATAATCGATTTACAAGTACCTTAGAAACTCTCTCATTTTGTAACAAAAAATTATGGTTAAAATTCTCCCCCATACAATATTAATACTTATAAATGTTAGATAAAAACATTACCGACGTATAATTATTTTCTATATTGTATAAAAAAGAAAAAAATTATTTTTATCGTACACATGCGGTGGGGAAAAAGCAAAAGTTTGCCAAAGTACAGAGATCCCCTTCGAAAGCTCATCTGAATGCAAAAATCGCTTTAGATTGAACCCAGTAGAACTTAAAGAATATCTAGTGCTGCGAATCCCCATATGATTCACCCATGCACGATTTGTTAAAATACGGCTAAGAGGAATTTAGAAACGAGTAACTTCCCCAAAAAAAAAATCTTAGTCAATAATCAGAACATAAGTCAGATCCAGATACAAAAAGTCGAATTGTTATACAAATACGTATTTCATAAATTAGAGTTACACGGGAATGGACCTTCTCCAACAAAATTTCAGCTGTTTACTCATCTGAATAATCAAAAATCAGATTCAACACCCAAATCATATGTGGTTTTTGATCACTTGATGCATCAACCATGCAAGTTTGGTCTAGATATAGCTTTTAATTACTTAGGAATGGGAGGTGCTCCTAAAATCTTAATATGCCCGAAAACTTCAACAGGCTCCAATTACATTAATCTGGTCATTTTTGTATCTGAAAAACAATTGCTGAAAATGGGGAAACTGATATCTGAAAGGAGCAATGAAAAATGTTAGATGCAACTCTCATCAACATAGGACATGTTTCTTAAAAACTGCTCAAATTATTTTTTTTAACCGGGACGCCAACACCAAGGGTATAACATAAGCCCCTTCGACTTCGATGAGGTCGGCTGACAGTTACTATACTTACATGTGTCGCACGCTTTACACCTTGAAATTAGGCCACAACAAAAAAGTCAATATCAATTTTATGGCTGCTTTGTAGCAACGCACTTAGAACTTTTTTTCAAAGTGAGTTATAATTGGGACAAAATTAACGCACTTTGAAAAAAAAAAATTCAAAGTGCGTTAAATTTGTGACAAAATCAACGCACTTTAAAAAAAAAAAATTCAAAGTGGGTTAAGAGTGTACATCAACCATGGTGACACTTAACGCACTTTGAAAAAAAAAAATATGCATAAAATTAGTTCTGGACTTAGATTTTAGTAATAGAGAGCATTATTATATATATTTCTATGGGAAAACTGATGAATTAATCTACCATCATCGAGAACGAGGAGAAAACAGGTAGAAGGTTCCTCAGCTCGACTCTTTATCTTTCCTACTCAAACACAGAAACTGGATTCCTAATTTATAAACTACAGCAAAACCCTTACAAAAATATACTAGGGTTGTCAGTTAAGTTCCTGGACAGGCCTTAATTTTAGAAATATTGTAAAACGTCATTTTCATTAAAAAAAAAGGAGTTCATTGCCTTTGTTTTATAGGTTTTTATTTTGAATTAATAAATTTCATAATTTCATAAATTCATAATTTGTTAAACTCAATGTTATATTTAATGTTTATATAAGTAACAAAATCAGGAGCAATGAAAATTCGCCCAATATTCTTTCATCAATTTATTCATAACAATTAAGACGTTATTTGGAATACCTCTGCAATTCATGGTAGACTCCATAATCATGCCAGTTGGAGTATCTGAAATGTACCAGATTTTGAACCTTTGGAGATCAAACACTGATAAAATTTTGTGTGAACATAAGAAACAGTAACAGAGACGTGAAAACTAATTCAAAATTTAGCCGCTCATTTAGATTGAAATGGTACATATACAATCGATTTTTGGATGGACGTTTGATTTTTATAAACGAGGGAACAGGTCTTCCTTCCAAGCGTGGAAGGATGGGTGCGCTATATCATCAATGAATACAGATGAATACAGACGTATTAGGTACGAGAATGTCCAGCAAAATATATCACATGAAAACGTAGTAAATGAACTGACACGGGTCTGCTCTCGATGGTTACCCAGGATTTTAACAGCTGAAAATATGAAGGAGAGATTAACAACCTTTAAAACATTTTAAAGTATTACCTAAATGATGGGGAATTTTGTTTTAGATAAACAAAACATGGTTCCATTGTTAGGATTCAGAAACAAAACAACAGTCAAGTCAATTAAAAAATACTTGTTCACCACCACCGAAGAAAGCTAAAGTGACAAAATAATTTGAAAAAAAACATGTTTACTCTCTTTTTGGACAGAAAAGGAATGACATTAAGAAATGCTGTTCCACAAAGAAAAATATCTACGCAGACAACTACAGCAAAGCTGTACGGTGTGATTTAATTCAGACGTTATGGAAATGCGACAATATCTGACAGCCAATCCAGACAGAGTTATCCTTCATTAGGACAATGCACCTTTTTTCATATTTTATTTTTATTACTTTTAAAATACAAACAAACATTTATATATATATATATATATATATATATATATATATATATATATATATATATATATATATATATATATATATATAAAACATATTTAGAACAAGTTACATTACAAACATACGATAAAGTGACAATATTGACTTAAGACAACCTAAAGCAATTGAATGAGAAATATTTTAGGCAATTTAAAAAAAAACAAAAAACTATAGTCTACAAGAGAGTTCATTTTTTTCAGAATGGAGGCACAGAAAATAATTGAAGATTTAACTTGATTAAGAATGTTGTAGCTGGTTTCATCCAATGAATGCAGTCGACAGTACATCTTATACTTATAAATTCTTTATGCAACATAAGAGATGAGAGTATTGAGTGATACAATTTTTAGCTCACCTGAGCCGAAGGCTCAAGTGAGCTTTTCTGATCAAACTTTGTTGTCTGTCGTTGTCGTCGTCATTGGTGTCGTCGTCGGCGTCGTTGTAAACTTTTTACAATTTCATCTTCTTCTCCAGAACTACTGAGCCAATTTCAACCAAACTTGCCACAAAGTATCCTTGGGTGAAGGGGATTCAAGTTTGTTCAAATGAAGGGCCACCCCCTATTTCAAGGGGAGATAATACAGAATTAGTGAAAAATTAATAGCATCTTTTAAAAATCTTCTTCTCAAGAACCACAAGGCCAGAAAAGATGAAACTCATGTGGAAGCATCCTCAGGTAGTGTAGATTTAAGTTTGTTCAAATCATGACCCCCGGGGGTAGGGCGGGGCCACAATGGAGGATCAAATTTTTACATAGAAATATATAGGAAAAATCTTTAAAAATCTTAATCAGAATCTTATCATATATTGTTGTAAATCGTTAAGATAAACATTTTTGCTTCAGTAATGTATAACAAAATATTGATCGTTAAAGAGTTATAGATGAAAGACTTTTGGCCCCTCTGAGCCCCTAACTTGAGGGGTCAGCCCCTTTTTCTTGATATCAAATGAAAGCACTTATCATTCTGCACAACTTTTGTTATATATGTTTTAACAAAATATTTACTGGTGTAAAGATATAATAGAAAACTTGTCAAATTTTGTGAGATGCTTGTGAGCCTATTTTTCGAGCCCAGGCGAGCTTCGGCGCCTTTTGCGCTGGAAAGATATGGACGCAAAAAAGCACATCTACAATCCCTCCTCTATCTTCACTGAAAATCTCAATTCAATATCTGGGGTCGTTTTGGAGTGATTACCAGGACAAG